TTTGTCTAATGGAAGAGTTGTAATTGCTGATAGATTAATGGGAATGCTGGGGAGATGCGATGCGAGGTTTGAAACCAACTCTTGATAGGCCTCAGTTTTTGCAACAATATCCATTGAGCTGCTATTTTGCGTTATTTCAATCGCCGCGTCTTTCTGTTCTCCTGGTGGCGTCGAGTTCTTTCGATGCATTTCATCTATTTGTTTGTAAACTGTCCGAACCAGCGACGCTAAACCACGTGCTTCTGAGTGCAAATCATATTGTTGCAAGACTTGCTCTAGCTGAACACTACGGTACTGATGCCTTTCCACTTCCAACTGCTGATTTTCGGAAAGTTGCTTCCAATGTTCTTGAACCAACACGGATTGCGCCAATTGATCTTTCAAAGCTTCAATTTCTCCAAGAAGCTCTTCACTTTTTGACTCAAGCTGAGCTCGATGGGCAACGAGATCACTGATACGATCTTTTGCCTTTTTGCAAAGTTCCCGCATCTTTCCTTGTTCCACTTCTAATCCACTTCGAATCGATTTTTCAGCAGCTAATTCGAATTCAGCTTGCTTCAGACTTTTTGATAACTGATCTTCTCTCACTCCAGTTGATTGATGGAACTGACGACTCCTCCTCAAGTGCTGCGACTCTCGTGTCTGAAGCTCATTTTGTAACCGATTGACTTCCGTTTCTAGATGTTTAACTTTTTTTGCACAACTCACAGCATAGACCCTCAATGTTTCCAGCGACATTGACCATACTGTGCATTCGATCGGATCTGTTGCATTTTGCTCACTTGGTGACACCAGCCTTACAGCAGATGTTGCTGAGCCAATAATAGATGCAGCTGAAGCAAGGCTCCCTAATTGAGCCCGTGATGCTGATGTTGGATGACATTCTGACGAAGCTGAAGTAGAATTGTTAAATCCGCCTGAGTGACCACTAAACGGAAAAGACATCAATCAGGCAAACTCACACTATACCAGAAGTTGAAGAGGTTTGGGACAACAGCTGCTGTTGCCAGGTCTTCAAAGAATTGTCTACAGTCAAACACCGCAAAAAAAAGATAAAAAAACTACAATAAAACAACGACCTATCGCCGTAGACCAGCAGAACGACGCACTAAGTCAGTTTGTGGACATGAGCTTTCTACAAAAGCCATCTCCCATCGTCCCAGATGGAACACAAGATCGTAGTTAATGAAGAAGCTGCTTCCAAGTACTGCTTGCTTCGGTTCTTTCTGTAACCTTCGGCCAGATGAACTTTTGTATCCATTGTTTGATAGGAGCCTCCCACCGTTAGCATCAACTGACCCTAGCTGCTGTTGGTACTCGTTGCCTTGAGGGTCGTCGTTGTCTTCGGCGACTATTGTCATGCAATAAACCTTTGCTCTACCTTTTTTATACAAGTAGCTGGAAGGACGCCAAACATGTTCGACATGGTTTGCAAATTGCAGCAACATATCTGGAAAAAACCTGAAAAAACAAAATTAAACATCAAACAGAATGGAGAAAAATCTCACCTCATGTCAGCCTCTCCATTGGAGAGAAACCAGCACTCTTCATCAAGGTTTGGAACGCTCACTAAAAAACGAAATGCAATCGTTGATAGTAACAATCCACAACGATGTACCTGGAACCAGACGCCTCAATGGGGACGCCGTTTGTTCACCGTAATATCGATCCGGGAAAATTTCAGAGTGATTTTTTTTGTCTTCAGTGAAGAATCTTTTACTTGCACTTCTTTCATTTCTCATCGCATCATTTAATTCACCGAAAGCCTCTTCGTTAAAGTTGCTCGCTGTTTGCTCTCGCATCTCCATATCAAGCTCGTCTAGCTCCCATTTTAGCCCTTCAGCAAGTTGCAATTCACGCTTCATTCTTACAAACTCATCTACATCTTCGTACGGCGCATTGCTACCAGCCTTGTAAGCTTCTGCTTCTTTTTTGCCATTCATTTCCCGTATTCCGTCTTGCACACCAACCTTTTCTCTTAATGCTCTGATAGAACGGCCAAGACGCTCTTTCATCTTCCGAACTGATATTCCTGAGACTCTGATAATATTGTCAGTTCCATCATCTGCTTCCATCAGACGTCTTCGTTGCTTTTTCGCTGCAGCTACATTTTTCAAGATTGTTGTCCAAAGATTTGCATACAGCAGAAACGGAAGGTATGTTAATGTGGTTCCCGAATCAACCAATGCAGGCAAACCTCTTGCTTGAGACGTCCGAGTGCGTTGGGGCAGAGAACTGAATGGCACCTAATAAGATAGAAGTGAAAATTTCAAGCAACCACAATCTTCTCACAGTCAGTTGAACTTCTTCATTAGTGGCCCCTTTAATTTTCCATCCTTGCAGTATTGCAACATATGACCCCGGCCATCCTCCCTCTTCATCAGGATCAAGAATCAAGGGGGTCCAATAGTTCACATTTTTCTGCACCACCCGCGATTTGATATAATTTTGCGGTGGAGATGGAGTTGGAGCTAAAAATGGAAAAGTCTGCTGTGCCTGCCGCTTAGGGCTTCCCCTTGCTGCTGCGTATTGATCCGGTTCTTCTTCGTCCTGTCGTTGGAAGGATTTCACCTCAAAATCGTTACTTCGAACGTTTTCCTTGCTAGCCTCTTCTAAACTTCTCCCCCACCACGCACCACTCCATGGTTGCTGTAGGAGCGGAGCAACAAGACCCCCTGATGATGCTGACGGTTGTTGTTGGACCGGACGTCTCAATACAAGAGGGACTTGATACGCAGTTCGAGCAGAAGCGAGGTTATCAAGAGTTGCACGCTGGGTTCCTTGAAAATGTCCTTGATCAATTTGTCCCGATCGATAGAACGGGGTGCGAAACACGATCTGAGATGGAGAATGAAGTGCCTCTTCAGAGGGCGTTTGTTGCTGTTGCCTTCCGTTGAGAAGCCATGGGGAGTGAGTAACAGGATATGCAACTGGTGAGCCATAGACAGAGGGGCCAGTTGGAGCTGAATATCGATCTGGTGAATTTTTAAGCCCATTAGATTGTTGCATGAATGAATAAGGTTGAACAACTGGTGCTTGTGGTATTGAAGGAGGGGAACGATTATTGCGTGGTTGAGTCGGCAAATGCTGTACAAAAGAGAGCGACTCGTCATTAATGTGATATTCTGAATTGGGAGCTCCAATTGTTAATATTCCACCTTGTTGACTGATACACATCGCAAATAATGGCTCTGTTTCTGATGAAGCTGATAAATCACCCATGAGTCCCAAATCACGGAGGGAACCACCATTTCCTGGAATTTTCTTCAAATCGAGAAGATCAGCGAGAACAGATGTAACGAATGGCGCGGGGCCGAATCTGCTCGTTGCTTCCAATCCCAAGATTCCTGACGCATCTTGGGACACGAAAAGATGCGTTTCTTCTGAATGGCATCCGAATGGAACCGAAACAGTTATTGGAGATGAAGAGAATCCATTTGAGCTCTAAAGATTGAGTTTTGAGAAACAGGGGGAAGAAATTGGGACTTACGAGGGTTACCTTATCCTCAAACCACGCTCCAGCCAAAGAACTGCCTTCAGTGTAACGAATCTGATATAAAAAGCATTTAAGAAATAGGTGAAAATGTAAAAAGCAATGATTAGATTAGCCATTGATGATGGAACACGTACATGATATGCACATTGTGCTGATTCTGTGGATACCGCAACTGGTGGGGATGTTGATGGATCAAGAGAGGGGTGGTTTGATTTTGATGCACAGAGAGGGCAAGAAGCAGCACAGCCAACTTGTTTGATTGTAGATGAAATTCCAGTATTGAATGGAGCATCGATATGTTTGCCACACCGAGTACGACAGTCAGAACAGGGAAATCCCATCACACTACTGCCTGTGTCAACGATTAAAGATTGCAATTGGGGTCGTGGGGAACCGAGGCGAACGTCAGCAAACCAATAAGCTGTTGCGTGGATTGAACCATAAAGCGGTAAAGAGACGGAGCTTGGTTTGTGCTGTTGTTGAGGCGTGACGTTTTCACCAGCAGACTTTTTGGAAAATATCCACTCCTGCATCATAATTGGTGTTCGCCCTATTGAATTGAAGAACGCGGCATTGCGATGAATCGTCCAATCTGTTGGCTCAGAATAAATTTGATAAAATGAAAGAAAAAAGATGAAGAAGAAAACGACAACATGCATGAAGAAGATGGAAAGATGCTTCATTAAGAACATCTGCTTGGAAGCCAAGCAGGATTAAAACCAATTATCAGTAAGATTTTTCACCCAATGAAAAAAGAGATACACCTGTAATTCAAACTCTCAGATACCTCTACATATATGCGCATTAGAATAACAATTAATGGCTCTCCTTCTCTGTTTGCCTTCAAACAATGCCATTCAAGTAAAAAAACGCAATTAAAAGCTCGGATTGAAGAGCAACTGATAACTCATTGAACGCTAGCCAGCAAGACGTCGCTCTCTTGCTATCACTTCAGCCAAAAACCGTATGAGAATGGTGGTGCTTGTTGTTGCTGGTCCCTCCTCAACAGTGTGAGCTGTCACTTCAGCAGGCTAAAAGCAACCAAGAAATACTTGAATGGCGATGCAATAACTTACAAATTCTGCACAGCAAAGAATTCCCTCCACAATGCCAGCCACATATGATGCACAACTGACATGGCCGATGTCCTGCACACAAAGAAATAAAACACTTAAGTGGTGAAGTTCTCTTACTTTTGGGACATTGATGTATTTGATGAGAATGAGATTGCGATCGCTGATCATGTCTGCAAAAATTAATAAGAACTGAGAAGTGACAGTTGCTTGCCTACATTCATTATCGTGCTCTTGACCCTTCAACAATTCCCCTGTATGACCAAACAAATATCTCCAACAATTTTGTGAAACAAATGTCAGGATGCTCAAGAGTCGGGTATCCCGGCGCCCATGTTTCTCACGAAAGCTCAGAAGCTCTAATACTTTCCAGCCAACACGAACACCCAATTCATGCAGACGTTCCTCTAACTGGTGACTTTGTTGCACGCCGGCCAGAGAATAGCGGACTGCCTCGGCGAACAGAAACGCCGTAAAGCTAAGGCTTACCTGAGAGAGAAAAAACAACTGACCAATGAAAACTGTCATAACGTACTTCTTGTTTTGGTCGGACTAGAGGGCGATCAAGAATCCCTTGCCGCGCTGCAGGTGGCTGCTTTAAATCACCCAGGGATCGAGGTGAAGCTGTTGAAGATAACGACGGTTTTCCCCCAGTGGATTTTGCAGTCTTCTTTGAATCTCCATAATACAACATACCAGTCAAAAAGACCTGGTTGACTGGTGCTGCGACGCTTCTGGCATATTGGATGCGACCTTCTAAATTCTACAAGTTTTTATAGTTTTTTTTCTACTATAATCAGATAATAAGTTTCGAGAAAATCAATCAAAAACAATTGGGGTTGGCGAGTTCTTTGAATCAGTAATACCCTCCATAACCACCATATCCGTAGCCGGTACGCCCGTAGCCAGTACGCCCGTAGCCATAGCCGCCACCGTAGCCACCATAGTTGCCATAGCCACCATAGTTGCCGTAACCACCACCATAGCGTCCGTAACCACCGCCGTAGCCTCCGTAACCACCGCCGTAGCCACCGTAACCACCGCCGTAGCCTCCGTATCCGCCACCATAGCCTCCGTATCCATAGCCACGGCCGTAACCGTAGCTGGGCCAAAGCGACCGAGCAGATTGGCTTGTTTCAGGTGTTTCTACTTTTCGAAGCAATCCATCTGAATGCTTGACATCATCCTGGTTTGAATCAATTGGAGCTTCCTCATGAGCGCCTAATACAACATAGAAGCAGAGGACGAGCGCTAGGAAAGAGAGCTTCATCTTGAAGTTGAGTAAAGCACACTACACTGTGGTGGGTGCCTGGATATTGGTGTCTCTGCTGCATGCAATAGAGACGTGGTGCGAGAAGATTGGTTCAGCTCGGTGCTTCCAGTCGTTACAAACAAACAAATCAATTCACCATGCACATCATAGAAAACTGAAACCATTGGAGAGATAGATTGGTTCAAAGGAGCCACAACACAACAAGCCGCCAACAAGATGCACATGAGAGTACCAGGCAAGCACGAAGCATGCTAAAATTCTGGTGGACCTGTAACTACAATATGAGTCATCTTCGCTTTTTCTTACTTTTGCTGGCTGGTCTAATTTCCACGATGAATGGCGAATGGATCACTGATGGAACTAATGGAACTTCAACTGAAGGGAACGTTTTCATCAACAATCAGGAAGAACATGACGGATCGCCACGAAATGGATTGTGGAAATTTGATGGCGGAATGACAAATGGGGATTTCTACTGGAGAGTGACTTTCAATGAATTGAAGGACCACGGCTCAGTCGGCGTGACATCATCGGATAAGTTTAAGAAAGGCTACGCAGGAAAAGGCTTGTATTATCACGGGAACCTTTCAACAGGCGGTGCCTTACTTGTTCAACAATTTGGACCTTTATTGAAAAAAGGAGATGTTGTAGGGATGCATGTCTCGATCAATAATGGAGCGATATCGGTGTACTATGACGTTAACGATCAACCCTTAGGCCTCGCTTTTGAGGTTGATGCTAGTGTCTTCAACGGACCAATTTATCCATCTGTTCAGCTATCGGGGAGTGGAAAAGCTTCGATTGAAAGAATAGGAACTTTCCCGAAACGCAATGCGCGCGTCAAGCCACATTTTGGACAAACTATTGAAGGTGACTGGAAGCTTATCTTGTCGAGCCTTCAATGCGAAAACACCACACTTTCCCTGGAACCACTTTTGAATAGCGACATCGGGAAGATCAAGATAAAGAAACAAGAGAGTTCAGATCCCTCCGTCCGTCTTTATGGCGTCCATCTTCATGTTGTCAATTTTATCAATTTCCGATGGACGCATCAAGGAGGCCGATGGGAAACATCTCCACAAGCGTCAACAATGATGATGGGTAAGCGTACAAAGTATGGGAGTTTCTATTGCTTTCACCATTTTTTGCAGGACCTCCAGAACACATGGAAGTCGAAGCATGTCTCACGAAATTGACGAATGAACCAACAGAAGTGGTCCCAGTAGAAGAAGACAAACTCAAGATTTCCAAGGGGTTGTCGTCAGCTACTTGGGTTCGCTATGACGCCACTCCGCAGCCATTTAGAGGGAATCCATTCTGAGTCTTGTATGCTCCTTTGAGTGTATTTTTACTTGCAAGTCGACATCAAATTGTTCCGAGTAAACGAGCATGATAAATTCATGAAGAACAACAATTCAGTTCACCTATGGTCAAATCACTACACTCCTAAATTGCCAGACAAGACAATTCTTGTATTATTCCACAATCACTAAGGAAGAAACGGTCATAATCGACTCTGAGTTGCCAATTGGTGGCGTTAGGTGTTTGCGATGTACAACTCTGTGTCTAGGACTGTTGCAGCACACCAAAAGGCTACGCTGCAACGTCCCCCTCAATATTGAAGTGGTTTTCAATTAATGGCGTCTCAACCATTCCGTTTTCTCTTCTTTCTCGTAATTGCTGGCCTGACACTCTCGGCTAATGCTGCTCGAGAGGCTTCCGTCGAAAGGGTTGAAAATGTATCGCCCAACACAATGAGCTTAGAGCAACGCTTGAATGGAACGGAAGATCACTTTACCAAGTGCTGATATCTTATCTCGGGAACCAAGGATTAATCCCAACATTGCAATCCTCAACATAAGAAAGAAGATTGATAATTCATCGTCATCTGTTCAAGTGTATTACGTTATCCTTCATGTTGTCAATTACATAAAATTCCGATGGACGAAACGAGATGACTCGCTTAAATGGGAAACATCTTATCAACAATCAACAAATTTAACGGGTATGTCAGTAATTACCATGTCAGTAATTATCATGTCAGTAATTATCATGTCAATTTGGTTTGATCAATTATGTTTGATGACATTTGTATTTCAATTGGTGTCTTCTCATGCAGGACTCCCCGAAGAACTGGCAGTCGAGTCGTGGTTAAAACGTTTGTTGATGGAACCAACAGAAGTGCGTCTAACGAAGGGAGATAAACTTAGGATTTCTAACAAGTTAACGTTATCTACATGGATTCGATACACGCCATTCAAAGGGAATCGATTATGATTTGATCACTCTGTTGAACTTCTACTCATTCATCTAGAGCCTTTATTAGCGCTTAACAAGGAAAGGAGTGGAACACACTTATGGACATCAAGCAAAGGGAAATTTCTTGGGTCTTTGTAGATTTGTCATTGAGGGATCATTGTTTATGGGTTTGTAGTTGAGGGATCATTGTTTATGGATTTGTAGTTGAGGGATCATTGCTTATGGATTTGTAGTTGAGGGATCATTGGTTATGGATTTGTCATTGAGGGATCATTGCTTATGGATTTGTCATTGAGGGATCATTGCTTATGGATTTGTAATTGCTTATGGATTTGTGATTGAGGGATCATTGTTTATGGATTTGTAATCAAGGGATCGTTGTTTATGGATTTGTGATTGAGGGATCATTGCTTATGGATTTGTAATCAAGGGATCGTTGTTTATGGATTTGTCATTGAGGGATCATTGCTTATGGATTTGTAATCAAGGGATCGTTGTTTATGGATTTGTCATTGAGGGATCATTGCTTATGGATTTGTAATCAAGGGATCGTTGTTTATGGATTTGTCATTGAGGGATCATTGCTTATGGATTTGTAATCAAGGGATCGTTGTTTATGGATTTGTCATTGAGGGATCATTATTTGAACATTTAATAACAATTGCAAAAACGCTACACGGTCTACGATCATCTTAGATCTTCACTCCCTGTGTTGGACTTTCCACAGTTGACCGAACTATTCTGTGGAGTCCGGATGCTAGACACCCGGCCTACACCGAGCCAGGACAGTAGGGGGAACCCTCCCATGATTGTCATCGTAGCTGTCCATTTGAGATCGTACGTCCACCAGAGCGTTTTGACAGAAAACGCTCAAACTGTGGTCTTTGTAATGCAGACGCTCCAGAACCTTGCATGTCCCAAACACGTGGAATTGTAACGATTGGGTAAATCCTGCTCTCGGCAACCTTTACAGTCACACGTCAAGCATTAGTTTGCGAGTGAATCTGTAAAAACGAGACTGCGTACACCAAACGGTTCATAGAACTTAATGTGAGAGCTACGCTTGCATATATCGCTTCAAAGCAATATGTTGTGCAAGTTAAGCGATTCGTCGCAACAATTAAATGTTGCAATTACGAAGTACTAATGCACGACTTCATTCTATATTCATCTATTCCGATAGATTCAACTCTTTCTTAGCACGACTTCATTCTATATTCATCTATTCCGATAGATTCAACTCTTTCTTAGTTCTGTCGAGGTTTCTATCGAAACATCTCCAAATCAAAGAGGTCTGTAACTATTACCAGTGTCTTGTGATGATGTGTTATTACTCCATAGTTCTCATTGAGGCTTGATGATAATTTGGTAACTATTGAATAAGAAACATGCCCTATGCAACAGAGGAGAGTCCAGATATCCATCAGTTTTTTCGAAAGCAGCTCATGCTTCATTTTGTACCTTTCCATTTTTTGTATGGATTAATTAGGATGTGAGTGGTTTTGAAGTAGCCTTTTATTCTTTACACTTTTTGCGCCATCAATCAAACCTCGTTATGGGAGGCAGAGCTCTTTGAATTTCTATGACACTGCAGTATGAAGTGTAATCCTCACTGAAGGGGCCATTCAATCCGAACAATCAACATTGCCCGAAACAAATAGGTGTGATTTGTGGACTCAACACATTGATGAATCTATGTTCTTCGAATTAAGCCGACCGTATTTCCTGATTTATCAAAAATATCCATGAAGAGATTTCGTTAATATCTCGTGACTAGATCACAAATCAATTGAATTCCACTGTGCTTCCTTCAATCTAAGTGTTCTACATGAGGGGCTTCCCTTACAAGCTTCCACCAAAAATGAACGAGAGTCAAAGAACTAAGTTATTGAATTCCAAACAATTGCTATTGAAACCACCAGCTGATGACTTCGACAAAGTTGTTTCATTGGATTGGAAACAAACAGACGCATCTTGGAATAATAAATGGGACGTTAATTCGCAGGATTCCATCAAGTCAGAATCACTTAAGCAGAAGTTCGCAGAAGATATTGGCCCAACCCACAGATTGTCTTGGATTGAAGTCAAAGATCAACATAATGGAGTGAGTTGCTATAAAAATGAAGTCAAAGATCAACATACTGAAGGAGCTTGCTATAAAAATAAAGAATCAAACGAGCCTTGAATCCAAAATCTCTGATGCCCTTTGAAACACTTGAGCCGCAGTGGGACAGTCTGATGGACTTTCTCGAACCACAAAATCGAAAAAGTCAGCAACATTTCGGTTAAATGTTCCTTCAGCCTCAATACGACTGAAAAAAAACAAATTGCAGACCTTTGCGATCATTTCACCAAACTGAAACATTTCTGACTGCTGAGTGTACTTCTCATCAACAAGCGTATAATCTGACCACTCCGCCAACTCCACAGGATCTTCGACTTCTAGGGATTTTCGACAGAACTCAAAATCAAGAAGAACGAAGCGGACGGATCGATCAGGAAGCGTTTTTTTGCGCACGTTTGCCCATCGGACGTCCATATGTAACAATCCCCGTCCATGCAGAAGGCGGATGCAATTAGCGATGTCCTTTGCTGCCTGCATCGCTTCGACTGCATTGGTGGGAATGCCAACGGAATCAATGAAGTCCATCTCAACAACCAAATAATTGCCTGGAGCAGGTTCAATAGATGCTGGTTGGAAAAACTGCTGTACTTGTTCGTGAGTCCATCGTTGCAAA